TAATTAATTTATTTATTTTCCTGCATACTTTTTTTATTTAATTTGTAATCAAGTTTTTTTTTAACAAAATATGATTACAGTGAAAACTTTCCTAAAGTATATAAATTTAGCTGGAAATCCTTAATAATAACTGTAAGCCAACTTTGCTCCTGCTAACACCTCCTAGCAGGACATTTCTCCACATAATCATAAAAAATAATGTTCACCTAAGAGAAGTGCTTGTTTAACCGAGATGTCATTGTGACATATATCATTTCATTATCTGTACAAGATAATGATAAATTGATTTTTATCAAGTTAAGAAAGATATAATGTTTATAAATAGGTGGTTGCATTGAGATGCAACTCGTAGTCCCCTGCAGTTATTGTTTTTCGCAGAACTTATCTTCTGAGTGCGCATTCGTAAGGAACAAGACAAAAACATAATTAACTTGGATAACTAAGATAACTTTGATTGTAGCGATTTTTCGCGGCTTTGTTATCACATTCCTTGCAAGAACCTCCAAGACAGAAGAATACAGACTAAATCCATACCATCGAATTAAGATAAATTTATTGGTTTTTTGTCTTTATCGATGAATAGTCTGATAAGCTATCATAGAAATATATTCTTAAAAGCAAATTTCTTCTGTATGCCAAAGCTGAGCATTCACAGAGAAAATGAATTATGGTATTATGGATTATGAGGAATGCACAGTTTCTCTGCGTGGCTTCCTATACACAAATGACCAGAAAGAAGTGCAGTAAGCTTTTCATTGTTCACAAGATCCTTTTTTATTAAGTCGTCCGTATACATTGAGATATTGTAATTTGCTTGAAAGTTTCTTCTTTTCCATTTGTTTCTTGAAAAGAATATTGTCTAAAAATTGCTATCAAAGCCTAAGCTTGACAGTACCGAGAATCCGACTTTGTCCTTATGTGCATTCGGTCCTGTGTATTCTATCCTGTCGCTTTCAGTCTAACAGCGCTGTTTGCAAACGATATGAAGTTCGATGGATAGCAGACGTAGCATTACATTAAGGGTATCCGAAATGGTCATCTTAAAAGCTCGAGTAACGTCAACGCTGGCTGTCCTTAGAACTCTGCTGAGTTTTTGAATGTCATAGATCTTATGTTTGTGTGTGTCCGTGCTCTTTAATCAATAATACTGATGTTTTTAGGAATTAGTTCTTTGAGCAAAGCTTAAACAATATAACATAAAGATAACTGAAAATAACTTTTCCAAAAATATGACTTACCTTATCTTCAGCGCTCCAATTGCCTCATTGAATTTTTTCTCCTGCTATATCGAAGAACTATTTTGTGCTAGGTATTATGACCAGGTATATGTTTATATATTTATGGGTCAACAATTATTGACTTCAGTGAATCAGAAACTATGCTGTTTAGTGCATATTTCAATAATAAAGTGAAATTTATGGTTTCAAAATATATTATTTAACATTAGCTGCAATGGTATATAATGATTAGTTATTATGAATATAACAATTAATGTGCAAATCCATAAACTTAAGCAAATTTTACCTATTGACTTGTGTAGGAGCAGGTATACAATATTATATTTTATTAAGTTCCCAATCTAATAGTATATGTATTATCATGAATATACACGTATACTTTACTAATAAAGAAATGTTTTTTTTATCGAAGCAAGATAAATTCTTCATAAAAGAATTAAGTAATGTAACCAGACTTGTTATTAAAGATCTAATTTCCAATAGTCGGAGTATGAAACTAGTGACGCATATGAGGCTTACTTGAGCGAGTTGATTCATATTTTATCAATTATACACAGTTTATAAACCATTCTCAGTATAATAAGATATATACCGTGAAATTCAAAAAGATATTAATCAACAGACGAAAATTTTATTAGATAATTTATATTAAATACTAAATTACAATCTGCATATATATAATATTGTATATTGTAGTCGTTGTCGTTATATTTATTGACTTTTTGTTTATTTGCAATGGGATTTGGGTAAAGCAATAAAAATTGTCTTTTTAATGGGAAAACTTTAAATGAAAAAGATTATATCCATATTTTATGACACCTTTTCGTATTTATTTACTGCCTTCTACGTATGTATATATCTACTTACATAAATTCATAGAAATAAGTTGCTTAAATTATAGCTGAATACATGCAAGTATCTGATGACAAGACAAGAATTTATAAAAAAATATAAAATTAAATTATTTTCATGTTAATAGGTATATATTTATATATTTTAAAAACTTATGACTTGTTATTTTGCCAGCAGTCAAAGTCAATAAATATGTGTGACTACATTTTTGAATAAAAACATTTTATTGTATCTACACCCACGTTATTTTCGTGTTTATTTAAAAAATATTTTTAAATTAAGAAAATTATAATACTTTATACTTAAAGGCTAAAATATGGATTGTGCTCAAACAAAAATTAAATTGGAAGATATTTCAACAAATTAATATTTACATTTTACTATTCATTATTTTGTTTTATTAGCATTAAAAATATATGTATATAAATTTAGCTGGACTTTGTCCTATAAAAATATTGGTTGGTATTTCTGTACTACTGAATTCACTCTTATATAGAACTAATGACGCGGTATGTATAAACAGCCCTAATATTAATATTAATATTAATATTAATATTAGCTCCACAAATTTCAGAACATTGTCCATAAAATAATCCAGGACGATTTATAAAAATATTAGTTTGATTTAAACGACCTGGTGTTCCATCAATTTTTACTATAAGAGCTGGAATTGTTCAAGAATGAATTACATCTGCAGCAGTTACTAAAATTCGAATTTGAAAACTTATGGGTAAAATAACTCGATTATCAACATCTAATAGTCGGAAATTATTAATATTTAGTTCATTTGTTGGAATTATATAAGAATCAAATTTAATATTTATAAAATCAGAATATTCATATGATCAGTATCTTTTTTTTTTTTTACAGTAGGTGGAAAACATCGAAATCCACAGTGTGAGACTTGAACCCACTAAAACCACCTCTTAAGAATGAATAGAGAAGATTCCCACAGCAATGTGGGAACTTCATTCCAGTAATCAGGGGAGAGAGAAAGTAGATAGACTTAATACCTAGTGAACTAGGTTCATCTAAGTCAGAAAGCAAGGACATGAATTAAGAAGAAAGGATAATAATGAAGGTAGTGGGGTTACGGCTAGTTAGCGGTGGTGAGACTAGTGATATACTTTGTGACCAGGGTCACGAAAGCCGATCAGTATCATTGATGACCAATTGTTTTTAATGTGATTAAAGGTTTATTAATTTCATCTAATAAATATAATAATCGTAAAGAAGGAAAAGCAATAAATAATAAAATAATAGCAGGTAAAATAGTTCAAATAATTTCAATTGTTTGTCCATGTAATAAATTTCGATTAGTATAATTATTAAAAAATAATATAAATATTAAGTAACCTAGTAAAATAGTAATTATAACCAAAATTATTAAAGTATGATGATGAAAGAAAGTTAATTGTTCTATTAAAGGTGAAGCTCTATTTTGTAGATTTAAGTTTGATCATGTTGAAATTTCTAATATAAGTAAAATACTTTATATATGAAGCTTAAATCCATTGCACTAATCTGCTATATTAGAAATTAGTTAGTTAATAATGATAATTCTGAATAGCTATGTTTAGCAGGAGGAGAATTTTGGAATCATTCAATTGAAGAATTTAATTGGATTGAATAAATTATTTATCGATTTATAATTATACTTTCTCAAATAATGTATAAAAATAAAATAATTCTTAATAATGAAATTTTAGATCCAATTGTTGAAATAATGTATTCTTTTTCAAGAACACAAATGTACACATACATTATTAAGAACAATAGAAAGAATATTCCTTTGATAAATAATAATGATCCAACGAAGATTGGAAATCAACTAAGTGGATAAAAAACGGACAGTTAACCGAACCTAAGTTAAAAATATATGCATTGATTTATCTGTTGTAATTTTAATGGTATCTTCTTATTCTTCTTCTTGTTCTTGAGTTAGTGCTATTACGCACTTTTACTCTATAATGGCTGGGGGCTTATCTCTACCTCACACTGGGCTTTAACTAGGCTAAGAAATCATATCATTTATTTGTCTTTTAGTTGATGACGGACCTTATATCAGCATATCTTCCTGAGAATCCAGAAGTGGACTTGAGGATTGTTAGGGCGGGGTTAAGTAGCGTATGAACTTTAGTGAATAATTTTAAAGCTCTATCTCTGATATATTTTTTCAATAAGTCAATCCTAAGATCTCTATGTATATCTGTTGATCTAATATACCATGGAATCTTAAACAGTCTTCTTAAAGCCAGGTTTTGAGCTATCTGTATCTGTAATTAAGGTAGTATTTGAGGCTTTGCTATATGTAACACATCCGTACAGTAGCGCTGGTCTAATTACTTGCGTATAAAGTAACTTTCTGTTTTTAAAGTATCTATATGTTATATTGATATGATTATGATGTGGTTTTTCAGTATGAAGTTCAAAAAAAAACGATACCAACTGAAATATAATGGCTTAAAATACTATTTACATCACAAGCATTTTTCTAGCTATAGTGATATTACTCCATGAACGCTCCTTTTATTATAAAACACAATCCGAATACATTTTAAGGTGAACCACTGTACTATATGTCTCCGTTGGTCACAATTTGATAATAACGATAACTAAAAAATTGTATTTTAAATTGATGCTTCATATAGTATACTTTTTAGATATGACCAAAAATGATTAGTTCCTTTGCACTTATCCTAAAATGATGTTTTATAGTATATATATAAGGGACAAACTTATAAGTTTGTCAAGTTTGATTAAGTAATAGTTTTGAAATCTCTAACAAAGAAGAATTACTATCATATATTGCTCCTACTTGATTCAAGATTTCTACATTTTGTTTAAATAATAAAATCGTTATAATATTTTTCGGAAATTTATTGCTGGTCTGATATATACAAATTATTATTTTTTTGTAGTTTATATACATGTATCCTCTAAGTTCGTTCAGTTTGGTTAATCAAAGTTAAAGCTGTTTAAAAAAAAATACCGTTACTATAATTTAAATAAATTGAAAATATTTAATAAACTTATTTAATGTTTCACGATCTTAAAAATATAACCTTACTTCACCACTAAAGACTGTTTTCTGGTAAATATTTTTGCGACTTAAAAATAATACTGCAAAATACATAGAATAATTAAATTATTCAAATTATTCAAATACTTCTTTTTCGCATTACTTTCAATGACGATGGCAGGATCCTGATGTTATAATAGCACCATTTAAGTATTAATCAAATGCTAGCAACAAATACATTTTCACATCCCTTTCCCTGACATGTTCATTAACAACGTAGTGATACATTCTTTTGAAGAAATCAGTGGATTTGAATATGTCAAACTCGGTGGAAGAGCAAATTTTCATTGCCAACTTATATGGAATATCTTCTGGTCGTTTTTGCCTATAGATATGGACTTCAAAGGTGCTCTTGGCTTCACCCAATGAAACGAATATCTTGATTTCACTATCGGGCACACCAAATATGGTATTTAAGAACATTTTACCCAACTCTGTTTGACTGAATTTATTTTTGAGCAAATTGGTTTGTTGAAGCCCCTTAGACTCCATTTTTGGTCTATGGATTTCAAACCGGAACTTAGAGGATACTTTAAAATTTTGAACTTCCGATTATTCTAAATATTTAATAAAACTTATTTTTTATACTTTACAAATTTATTTATTATGTGTAGTTATTCCTTTCAAGGCATGCTATAACTCAAAAATTTATTGAGTTTTATTATTAGTTGTTGTTGTTGTGATTTGAGTTAGTGCTATTGCGCACTTTTACTCTATTGTGACTGGGGGGCTTATCCCTACCCCACACTAAACTTTAACTATACTAGAATCATTATCATTTATTTATTTTCTAACTGATGACGGACCGTAGATCAGCATATCTTGCTGTGCGTCCTGGGGTGGACTTAAGGTTTGTTAGAGCGGGATTGGGCAACGTATCAACTTTTTTGAATAATTTTAGGGCTCTGTCCTTGATATACTTTTACACTGAGTCGATTCTTAGATCTCTATGCATGTCTGTTATTCTAATATAGCAAGGAATCTTTATTAGTTTTCTTAAAACCAGATTTTGTGATTAATATATGAATAATATATTTTAGTCTATATTGACTATATATAGAGATAAGATTATTTTATGTGGTATTATATGAGGTATTCTAATAAAACTTTACACACAAACGGCAACGGATTGTGAACATATGTCGGATTGACTAAAATCAGACCACTATATCTCATACCTATCTTACAAACCGAACAATCGGATACAGAATGTATATGAATACATATAAGAGAATATACAAAATTTTATTTATTTCGGTGCAGTAGATATTTGCAGTCTCTGGATCTTTATGTTTTTGTTATGATTTACTCTTTACCTTATATAAGAAGTAATACTTGTCTTTAAATGGCATTATTGGAAAATTACCGACTCTACTGACTTAGCTAGCCGGGTTAGCTACCGTGCCATTAGCGGCTTCTGAAGGCGCGGATTTAATAACAGACAGAGATAACATCACCTAGAGGGATTTTTCAAGAACCTTAGGTGAGCTTTATTTAGTCTCTGCTTTACGCTTTTAGATTGATTTTAGGTTGGACTTGTTATTTCGTTAAGTCAGACTGTCAGTTTTTAATTGGAAAAATATTTTCTGGAGAATTTTCTTTTAGCTTGAAAAGCTTTTGCTGTTAAGTCATTTAATATTTTTCTGAAATTAATCACTGATTCCTTAATTTCAATAAATGAACTGAAAATTGTTTGGCACTGATTTTCTTATATACGAGTATATAGTAATATAATATTTTCGTGGATACTCGTATTTTAATTTATGAAATGATTATTCTTTTTGTATGGCCGAATTTTGTTTCATAAGTTTCTTGACAGAAAGTCTCAAGAAATTTTATCAGCGCTATGTTCGCCTAGCAAGTCTATAAAAAATTTCTAGTAATAAACCTAGTTATTCCCTCTTTTTAATAATTTTGTTATTTTGTTTTATGTGATACTCTTTTTGGAAAAAAAAATAATAAAATTTAAAGTTGCGTAGTGCATTCACGTGTTGTTTGTTTGATTACATGTGTAGAACTTTTAATTGCCATTTAACATTATTTTGCTTTAAGTGTTTTTTAATACATTTCAACATTCAGTACATATAATATTTAAACCTTTACCATAATGAACATAATTTCAACCATCGCCGCCTACAATCCCGCCCACAACCCAGCCCGAAAAACACAAAAGCATAACGCAGCCGAACACTGTAGTAGACGACCACTTAACAATGCCCTCGTGGCTATTAAAGTCATAATTTTTGATTTACTCCCGCAATAAAACAAAATATGCATATCCAGAGTAGCAATTTTCGTACGCCCATAAATACGGATACCGCTGTGTACTAATAAGCGTTGGTACGAAATATTTCGACAGTTTATTTTCACACAATCAATGATTAATTATATTTTTTATTCGACTTTAACATTTTTTAAGTGACAGTCCGGCAAAAACTTTTTGACAGCTTCATTGCCGATATTGAATTTGGTGAAATTGGCCACTTGGGAATGCGCTTAGTCGATATCGAAGATTAAAGCACAAATAAGCTGTGAGTTAGGAAGGTATGATAAAATCTAAAAAAGATTAAAACGAAATAGTAATATTTAAAAAATTTTATTATTCTTTAAAATATTATCTTATATATTTTTCATACAATGTGCATTCCAAACTATATATAATATTTTAAGAATAGATAGGTGCTTGCAGTTAGAACATTTATTGGCAATAATATGCTTGAAGTATCAAAATCCTTCACCGATGTATGAATGAATTTATTATGCCTAAAAAACCAGGCTTTAAAAATGTCCATTAAAGTCTACTTACACAAAATGTTTTGCTGGTATCGTAAGGCATAGTAGGAAACGTTCAGAGGAACAAACGAGCGAAATACTCAGACCTCTGAAAGAAATATATAAACTTCTGGACGAGTACATGACGCGGAGAGCAAAGAAAAGGTGGCCAAACTTAACCATCTGTAGAATAGCTAGGATCATTTGTAGACACATATACGAGGAAAAGTACACCAAGGATGTTATATCGTCTAGCCGAAAGAACTGTAAAACATTAATTGGTGTATTGACAGGTCACTTTCTAGTTGCATCATATGCGCACAAACTAAATCTAATTCACAGCGATGCTTGTAGGAAATGCAGCCCGGCTCGCTACAAAGGATACCGTGGAGCATCTGCTATGTAACTGACGGTTCGCTAGAGAACTTGATAAAAATAATTAAGAGGTGTCAGTTTTACCTGATTGGAGCACATACCTGAGGTTTGTATTGAAATCCTAATAAAATTCGTTAAAAACACGCGCATCCTCAGCGCGACTCTGATCTGGTATCGCACTGAATCTTAATGGTCTACGCATGGCCTTCTTGGTCTGCCAACATAACCTAAATGTATTTTTCCGAAATTCTAAAAGCTCCAGAAAACCAAATTAGATGAACACGGAAATAAGTTGATATTTTGAATCTTAGTTTTTAATCAAGAAATTGGTGATAAGTGTCGATCGATGAGAGAAATTATTGTTAATTAGTCAAGTCGTACAAAATAAACTGTGGGCACACTTCTCGACACCCCAAATATAAAGTCAAAATGCAATAAATTGATTTTTTTTAAGAAGATCGGCTTAAAGTCTATGAATTGAAATCAAATTTTTAGCTGAGCTTTAATGAACTTCACTATTTTCTACTGCGAAAAGACATTCTGGTTGGTTTATAAAAATATATACAGATTTTTATTTTAAATGCATAAATTATAATTGCAAAAGTTTTATTGCTGTAATATATGTTATATATTAATACCACATACTTATGATTCTTGTCGTCATATATGTATGTCCTTAACGTGGCACCAGTATTCCATAATTATTTATATTGTTTGCAAAACAATATTTATTCAGCTCTTCGAGTGTTGAGTGGTGTTGGGTTTGGATTAATTGTTTGATATGGTATAAATCTTCTATAAAATATCTTCTCATATTTAAACATTATTTTTTATATATCTTTTTGTATCTTTTTTTTTCACCTGTGAAATGCAAAATTCTTAACAAAATATATGTGATTTATTTTTTGGTTTAATATTAAATCCTATTTAGTGCAATATAATTCGCAAATCTATTCAAAAACACAATTACCACAAAAATCGTAAAGATTTTAATATTAAACAAATAATTTATGATATTTTTATTGTTTAATTAAATTTATTAAAACATAATTAATTAGGTCGTTGCCTTGAAGAGATTTATATTTATTTAGATGAATTCATGCATTGGATATTCATAAACTTGTTCTGGAACATAAAGAAAAGTTGCAAAACTTAAGATTATTATTAATTATTATTAAAAAGAAGGGATTGTGTACTGCAACCTAAAAGATCTATTGTGCTCCTTACTCAGGTTAGATTGTTTCCATAAGTGCGATTTCTTTAATGAAATACATTATAGAACCTACCTTAACTAGTGTTGCATCTTTATGATCCATAAAATACCCTCCTAGGTGTTTCTTCTGCTTGTGCATCAGTGCCGGGCACTCCCCAAGCACATGGTATGCAGTTTCTCTCTCTTCTCTACAGTATCTCCAGTCTGAGTTAGATTGAACTCCTAACTTCGGTGTTTATTCAATTTACAGTTGCCGGTTAATAATCCTGTAATAATTCTTAGGTTGTTTTTTGATTATGCTATGCAATCTTCAAAGCGTTTTAGATTGTAAGTTCCTAACAGCATTTTGGATTGTGAGAGCGCTGGTAACCTTTCCCAATAGAATTCTTTTTCTTTTTCCTCTGTACCAGTCATAAGAATAGATAGAGTTCCTTTGCCTAAACCACAGAATGGTTCTGGGCCTATCATTCTTGAGGCTGGGCCTCTTTTTGCAGGTTTGTCTACCGTTTCATAAGCTTAAGAAATCATAAATTAACTGAAACACTTAAAATAGTGCTTTTTATAGCATTTTTATTAATAAAATATTTGAACTGAATTTTTATAATTTTCATATTCTTTAACTTATATTGCTTATATTATATATTATAAGTTTCTATTGTGTGTGAAAACTTCCTTGATATAAGACATTTGTAAAAATAAAATATCTGAATAATTTTTTTGGTATTCATTTATTGTATTATAATATTTAGTAAAGATTATTGTTTAATCATTTTTTTAATTATTGTTCCAATACATATAGATTTATAAATCCTGATATTATATACATCGTATTTCTATTCAATATTTCTCGCAAGCAATTTAATGAAACCAGATTTGGGGATGAAATTTACTTATATGATTATATGATTGTAGAACGATTTAAGGTTACTTTTAGTCTATAGATTTTGAATAGGCAACCCGGCTTTCCGTAGCATATCTATTTCTCTAGTAATAAGAAGGTAAGACGTTAAAAAAAAAATTATATAAGAGGGAGATATGAATTATGTTTCTTAATTAAACTTTCTGCAAATAAATAGATGAACATTTTTATCTTAGACATTATTTCCTTTAAAAAGTAGAAGTAAATCATTCATTTCATAAAATCTTCCTATAAAACAATAACATTTTTAAAAAATATATTAAAAAAAATTTCGCTGGCTGGGTATTGTCGGAGAAAGGGAAGAAGATGCTCCAGCGATAATGGTTTTGAAGTAGTAGTTGTAGTAAGAATGCATAGAGCTAGACCGTGTCTCCGATGGAGTGATTAAGTTGACGGAGCAGTAACCAGACTTGATGTTCTTGATACTGGAGAAGGCGCGCACGCAGCAGAGGCATATTGAGAGATATGCTGCGTCAGGGCAAAAGGCCGTAACGGGTTGTTATGGTCAAATGAGTAAGTAAGTAAGAAAATTATATAAAATATAATCTTTGAAAAATTATAAAAGGAAAAATATAACTTTATATATATCGTAAAGTGTATATGAAATAATTTGCAATAAAATTGAGTTCTTTGCTTCATAAAATAAATCCAAATTAAAACTTCAATGGTTAAATATATTCTGTTTAAATTTTAGTGCAAAAACTCTAAAAAAAAATTCATGATTGTCAATTTTTAACAAGAAAAGTTTAAAATACTTTCAACTCTAAATTATTTATTGTGCCATCCTTAATGTGCATCGTTTCGTACTAAAATACATAATTTAACTAAAATAATTTTAATGTTCAAACTTAAACGTTTGTAATTATGAAAAAGTTTTTAATGGCATTAGTAAGCAGCGTTTATTTGGGATATAAATTTTTTTGTAAAATTCTTTGAAAAGTTTTTCGACAACATAAATAAACAAAAAATATATAAAAGGACGTCGTATACGAGTATATTTAAGCATGTATATAAGCTAAAACTATAATAAAATATGCTTTAATTTTCTTGTGGAGAAAAACTGTAGGAAAATCAAAAGAAAACTTCATCATTATGCATGACAGTAACTACAACTTGAGTGCCTAACAACAAAAAAAGTTTCTTGGTTGGAAACTCTGCCGAAAACCATAAAGAAAAAATACCACAAAACATCGACAAAAAATTGAAGAATTTTACCATAATCTTATTGGCGTGATAGGATTACACTTCAGTAAGTGAATTAATAATATATGTAAGCAGCAATAGCAACATCAAGACCAACTACACAACACAACACAACACAACCCAACACAACACAACATAAAACATTAACAAAAACAACTTTAATATATACAAAAAGTAATATTAAAACATAATAAACACAATATAAAATATCATCAGCAAAATCGAGCAACTTGAGCCTTTTTAGTATCGTAGGACTGGAGTGCAGGAGTGGCAGCGTCCCTATGTGCATTTATATTTTCAGCAAAAAAGTCAAGTGTTGAAATCCTCACGAAATTATGGAAAATTATAAGAATCCTTTTAAAAAAAAAACTTTTTAACCCAGAAAGTGTTGTAATATATACTCGTACTATATATATAAGCTACCGAAATGCAAGGCAATGAAAAAATAAAAAAAAATTCACAAGAGTAAATATTTTTCGTGAAGTATTCAGTAGATAAAAGAGTAGGTAAAGATAAATTTTTTGTTTACCTCATCATCAGACTTAATAACATAATTCATCTTAATCTTAACAACAAAATGTATAGCTTATTTCAAACTTTATTAACATCAAAAATGAAGAATAATAATCTTTTTTATAGGCAAGAGTTGAACCGAAAAGCTTCACGAACCGAGCTGCGCATAGAACTTTTGAGTATCCGTATGAAAAACTCAGAAGATTAGAATAAGAAGGATAAATGAATAACTTCAAAATAATGTGAACTAATGAAGTTTAGATTTAAACAATGCACTTCGCTAAACTTACTATGTTTTTAATTCAAGTGTATGAGTCTTAATCTAATATGAATTAGATTCGTTTAACCCTCAAACACACACCCCGGGTACCCGTGCATACACTTTCTACTTTGCGCAACTATATCTTGTAAACCGGTGATGCTACTACACTGAAATTTCGAATCTTAAAAATTTTAGAAATGTTGAACAATTTTAAAGCGGTTCAGTATTTAAAAGCTTACAAAGTTGATACCTACGTAAACACACACCCGGGGTAATCGTGTAACCACTCGTCATTTATACAGAAATGACCGTAATTTATAACAAATAACAGGAGTTTTGTATTCTTTACATATAAATATTAATTTGAATTTCATAATATACATATTATATGTATTTTAAATAGTTTTTCAGCATAGTATGCATATATATATACTATAAACCGATTTGCTGCAAACAAATCGGTTCACTGCATTGGCTCCACGATTTTCGAATCTTCCTATAGCGTTTTTCATACTGAATGTAGCACAGATAACATGTTTCTGTTATAGATAGATCGGTGTTCGAAACCTGTTTCAGTGGACCTTTCAAATAACTTTGCACGTTCCTCTATTATTGGCATACAAAGCTCTTCAGCCAATCTGCGTAGAAAAAGCTTACTTCCGGTGCCAGCATATGGTATCATATGTGTCTTCGACATTTTTATTTGTGTGACGCATTATGATGTCCATCATTACTGGACTCATGAAACATTTGAATTTTTGCTCTGCTAACATTATTTCGATAGTTTTAGCTACACCATAACGTTGGCGGACAATATATTGACGTAAGGTTTGACGTGATACATTACATCTCTTGCAGTTAATTTGTCACTAATTAATTTATGGTAAAATTTTTATCTTCATTGTCATCGGAAGCGTCAGAATCGGCACAAATCACATTAGTCCTTTCATGGGTTTCTAACAGCTCCTCAGCATCAGACGGTTCAGCTTCAAGGTCTATGATTTCATGACCTTCTTCTTCGTCAGACTCACAGACTGAATTCTCATCAGCTACTGTGTCAAAAACCGACTGTATATAAGTCTCTTGCTCAGCATGGCTTTAACTATATAATGAAATAACTATAAATATTTGCGTAAGTGTTGCAAAGGTTCATGTTGTTATCTATTGTATGCACGTTAAGACAGATAATTTATTTTATTTGATTCCTTTTTTTCTAGTTTGATTAGTTTTTTTTCTAGTGCACACATTTGATCTATTTTAATTTTGCTATAATTTATAAATATGACTAATATATGTCATTGTAGTGATCACGATGCTAAAAGATTAAATCTTCCTTTCAACCATATCTACCGCAATTATGGAGACAGCGATGAAAGCACCTCCCATCTGCTTTGTTTCTGTCCAGGATATGCGTAGCGCCGTCTTACCACTTTAGGGACTTGCTTTTTTGAGGTTCTTGGTGAACTGCAAGGCCTTGCATTACATAGCATTATAAACTTTGCCGAAGTTTCTAAGTGATTCTATCCTGTAAGTTTTTAAATATGCAATAACATAATGTGCCTATAGGCCTAAGTGAATTCCTTGGGTTCACCGGTATAACCTACCCAGTGTTTGCTTTGTCTTTTTATATTATCGTTTCAATATTGATTAACAGATGAAAATTTTATCTATTCCAATGTTTAGTTCATGAGGAAAAACTTTTGTTTCTTCAACCCAATATTTATTGGTTTTAATTAATGGTAATTAAAAGAAAAATCTATATATATACCGAGCAAATCACGTTTAATTATTTTTGAAATAAAATTAAATTTATAATTTCGTTATTTCGGTAAAGCATATTATTTATTTGTAAAGGATTTCATATATAAAACTGGCATTAAAAAAAACGATATAACACAAAATATGTTTCCTCAGGTTTTCAGTTCAACTTTCAACATTTTTTGTCATAAAATTAAGTTATTGTTTAATCTCACCACCAGCTCTTTGCACCGAAAACCTAGAACTAATATTAATTTTTATGATTGATATTAAAGTTTTTAATTAAATGAAAAATATATTGCATTACCTATAATTAAATTAACAAATTTCATTCACTTTCAAAGTTTAACGCAACCGGTTCAGCATTGCTTGAAGGCATTCTTGCTATGAACTGGTCTGGGATTCCTGCTGCACGTAATTTGTTACGATCAATGGAAGCAAGATTTTTGTTATAGAATAAAATTGCTTCCCAGCACATCTCCGATAGCTTAGGTATAGTAACCCACATTTTATAGAGCGCATTGCGACGTTTCATTGACCACACACCGCATGAAATCCCTCCAAATAAATACATTGCGCCTGTCTCAGAGCAAGACGCAGAATGAAAGAATATTGGTGTTGGTAAGCGCGCAGTACGTAATAAAGTCCATTGCTTAGTACGCATATTTATTTTCCAGACATCCGAAAAAAATGATCTGGAATCCGCTTGGCAGCCACCTGAAATAACAGCCTCCACATCGCCATTAGGTGTTGTATACTGGGCGCAGCCAAAGCATTTTCGTGATTTCGGATAACCTGTTATCTCACGTATATATAACGCTGGCGTTTCGTCTGGATATGTATAAAATTGTTCCCAGCAATGAGTTTTTATATTAAAAGCTTCTATGGAATCAAAACCAACACATATCTGCTGTGAAGTGCCACCACCTAGGAGAAATAAGTAATTGCCGTCATTTACAATTCCATGACCATAACGTCCTACTGGATCGTTATGCCTTCCTGGTCGACTAGCATAAATAACTTTCCATACTAACGACTTCAAATTTAGTTTATAAACATGACTATAAAAATCGTAGCCAGTCGTGCCCCCAATTGCGTACAGGAAGTCATCATGAACAGCAATAGCTGCACCATAAACAGCCGGAGGTAAATCTCCACTGACAGATAATCTAGTAGCGGATGGATTTCTTCCTGTAGTATAAAGTATGCAGTCATTAGAACGTGACTCTCCAAAAGGGAATCCTGTTCCACCATAACTAATTAATCCATTTCTCCAAATAGTGAATGCACTAGCAGTTAAATCACTTGGCATATCTGTTGAACTTCTTTCATCTAATACCAAATGCCATCTATTGGTAGCATCGTTAAATGACCACAAATCCTGAAAAATCAAACGACGGCGCTGACGTCTGGCTGCGTTTGCCGTACGTGGATTATAACCACCCAACACAAATACATTTGATTCCGTCGCTATTACTTGATGACCGCTACGTGGCTCAGGAATATTCAACACACTGCGCTGCTTTAAATTTCTCTTAACCAAGACATATGGGGAAAACTTATAGAGCGGATTAATGTTAACATCCGCCAAAGCTAACAAACGGTCGTCATCATCTGAAGAGTTAGAACTAAAATGCACTTCTTCATCGCTGGATGTGATGCGCTCATATCTTTCATTAAAATTTCTATACAATAATCCAAACATATCAACATGAAAGTCGACTTGCTCATCATGATTCTGTCCATCCATTTTTACTCTGAAAGTCTTTTCAGTGTTTACGGATCTTCTGTTACCTATTAAAAATATATATAAAGTTATTAGAATACTTTTAAATTGAATTTTATTAGGAAGAAATTTTTTTATAAATTATAAAAAATGTTACTGTAAATTTGACAATCTTCATCCTAACTTAATTTCAGTTGCTATAACAACTGTCAGTTTCTTAATAAATTGTCATATATTTATATGGAAGTTGATTCCTTGCTCCAAGAAAAGAAAATAAAATAGTTCATTTAATTAGTTTCCATTGACGTTTTCAACCGCAATTGGACTCTGAAGTGAACTACGTAGTGTTTTTTGGACAAAAAGAAAGATGTTGCTTGTGAGATACCGTGCGGAATAAAGGAAAAATTGCTTTCGCAGGATATATTCGTATAAATATGGATTTAAGCATGGATATGAACAAAACAAAGATTTTAAAAAAGTTTGGGTTTTTATAAAAATTATCCAAAAAATCAACTCTGAACCATCATAATTCAGAGCTCCTAATTCAGAACTTCTAGAGCCAATTATTAATGTAAATTAAATCTGAAAAAGGAAATAAAAACCTATAACCGCCTTAAGGAGCAATGGTCGTAGTTTTTTTTAGATACATCCGATAATTGGAGTTGAACATAGGCTTGAATTTTGAGACCAAAATAGATACAGTCATTGACTCGTTCGAGCATAAATAATGCACAAAAATTAACAGAGGAAAATCTGCAGGAGAATTGCAATTAATTTGCAATTTCGAAGTATCGATCAAAACTTCACATTGAAGAAAAATTTTAAATAAGTGGTACGGTTGATGATTGTCCACTTCAAAAGAATTTTTAATAGAACTAAATAAATTTAAATAATACTTGCATTTAGAAGTCTGAGTCTAGGGCATTTAATTAAGAAAGACTCGTGAACAATAACAAATTGCATACTTTAAAATGGTTTTACTATTTATTTTATTTATTGAAATTCACTATATAAGTCAAAAAAAGAAATCAAGCCAATGATATTAATTCTACAATGTACAAAAGCATAAGTGAATTTACGAGAAACAATCTGTAGAAAGATCGACTGTTCCCGTCTATCTACAGCAATCTATAAGCTGATCTTATACAACACAATCAAAGATATTGACATGTAACGAAATGCCTTTAGTAAGACATAAGTAAATATTGAGTAACGTCAATGACGTTTAACCAACAGCACCTCAATGAGCAATTCCAATATAATGCCAAACAAAATTAGTTGGAGTAAAATCTACCATTAATAAAACAATATATGGTACGTGCTAACTGCTTCGTCAATTGCACGAGCGAATAGCTTCGTCGATTGCACAAGTTAATAGCTTCGTCGACTGCACAAGCTATTAGCTTCGTCGATTGCACAAGTTAATAGCTTCGTCAACTGTACAAGCTAATAGCTTCGTCGATTGTATGAGCCATTAGCTTCGTCAACTGCTAAAATTAGTAGTTTCGTCGATTGCACGAGCGAATAGCTTCGTCAACTGCACAAGTTAATAACTTCGTCGATTGCACAAGTTAATAGCTTCGTCGATTGCACAAGCTAACAGCTTCCTCGATTGCACGAGCGAATGACTTCCTCGATTGCTCGAGCTAATGACTTCGTCGACTGTACGAGCCATTAGCTTCTTCAACTGCAAAAATTAGTAGCTTCGTCGATTGCACGAGCGAATAGCTTCGTCAACTGCACAAGTTAATAGCTTCGTCGATTGCACAAGCTAACAGCTTCGTCAACTGCACAAGTTAATAGCTTCGTCAACTGCACAAGCTAATAGCTTCGTCGATTGTACGAGCCATTAGCTTCGTCAACTGCACAAGATAATAGCTTCGTCGATTTTACTATTTTACTTTATTAGCTTCGTCAACTGCAAAAATTAGTAGCTTCGTCGATTGCACGAGCGAATAGCTTCGTCAACTGCACAAGTTAATAGCTTCGTCGATTGCACAAGCTAACAGCTTCGTCAACTGCACAAGTTAATAGCTTCGTCAACTGCACAAGCTAACAACTTCGTCAACCGTACAAGCTATTAACTTCGTCGATTGTACGAGCCATTAGCTTCGTGAACTACACAAACTAGTAGCTTCGTCGATTACACAAGCTACGTGTATTGGCTTCGTCGATTGCACTAACTAATATCAAAATTAATACACCATATGCTAAATTTCAAAAATATATGCTATATACGTTACTTAATGTACAAAAATGTAATAAAAATTTATGTATATAAAATGAAAAAATTTACTTACAGCGATATTTCCTTGCTTGAAAGTATGGAATTCGTTTTACTAGTAAATTACTATGGATGCACTATCAGTAGCGAGTTTACTATGGATGCAGTCCGTTGTGGTAGCGAGTTTAAATTTAATAAACTTTATTGCAATTAAAACAGATTCGAGTTTTATAAAAATAAAGTTATGAAATTCTCAAGCAAAATTACGTCTGCTCACTTCACTTCACTGATTAATTTCATAAAATAAAATCTGAAGTTTACTCAAAGCAAACGCAAACTCAACCGCTTACTTGGTTAGATGAAATGCTTGTGATTGGAAAAAAATAGTTATAAAACATGCTTACTCAGTTTATTGAAATTACAGTGAAAACTCGATAAAACAGACGCTATCATGTGTTGCGTTTGCACGAGGCTTTAATGATTTTCAGGAAATAAGCATTTATACGGCGATTTGCAGTCTAGAAAAAGTCGTGAAAATTGATTGTGATTAAGAATTAGCATTGACAGACGGTAATATAATTTATCAAAAAAGGTTGAAATATCGATTTATTTGCTAATTTAAGAGATATCATAAGATATATAGCATCAAATTTAATTACTATATTGCACATTAAGGTTTTTTATGTAGATAATGGAATTTATTTATGCAATATTTAATATGTATTTATAATAGTTTTATATTAAATCGATTTTTAACGTCCATTTTGACGTAAGAAACTGAAAACTTAGTATAAACTAGTATTTTCAATAGAGAGGTATTTCAAACCATATTAAATTACAACCATAAAATTTTTATTATTATATTAATAATATGAATTTTTAGTTGATCATTCTAATACATATATCAATATAATATATCATAGCAGCTGTGTGGGATGGGAAACACTTATCAGCACGATTTCCTACTGATTCAGGAGTAAAGCAAGGTTACGTACTCAGTCCAATTCTCTTTTCCCTTTATATAGATGATGTGGTTACACATCTATTTGAAGGCGCAAATATAAATGGTGTTAATATTTTAAAATACCTTTTTATATGTAGATGTCATCGTTCTTCTAGCAGAAAGTAGCGATTGTTCACAAAATATGATATATGAGGTGCATAGTTATTGTAAGCTACAAGGGCTAACAGTTAATATTGAGAAATCAGAAACGATAGTCTTTAAACAGCATCACAGGCGATATACAAATGAGGAAATATAGACATTAGGAGGATAAAAAATACAGAAATAGTTTAGGAATATCTTGGATTATGGGTGCAACATGCTACATTTAACTGCAAAATTGAGGGAAGCTAAAAGAGCTATTAACTGCTCATGAAAAAATATATTTGAAAATATAGATGTTGCATTCAAAACATAATATCAATTCAACGAAGCTACTGCAAGATCAATAATGTGCTATGCTACACAAGTATGGAAAATTCTCCAATATGAGGAAGTGAAAAAACTTTTACATTTTTTTATATAAAAAATAAGGCGAATATTGACAACACGCCCAATCGAATGATTTATTTGGAGACTGGGTTGTCACTTTTGTACTTATCCATTTTAAGCACATCTTATTTTTAGTTTTCAACATGGAAAAAAAATTCTAACTATATCTCTAACGCAAGAAAACAGCCTTGTTTTTAAAACTTGGGCTGATTTATAAACGGATCATGGCAAAACGCTGACAATCGACAACATTTAGTAGTGCAAAAAAATATATATGTAAAAATCGGTACTGTAAAAAGTTCGAAGCTGAAAGTCGACGAAGTGCTTCCTTTCCAAGTCCGATATCTTTAATGAAAGACAGTATAGAGCCTATCTTTCCTAATCTTGAATCCTTATGATCCATTAAATACACTCCCAGATGTTTTTTCTGCTTGTGCATCAGTATCGTGCACTCCCCATGCACATGTTATCCAATTTCTCTCTCTTCTCTACAGTATCTGCAGTCTGAGTTGGTTTGAATTCCTAATTTCGATAGCTCATTATTCAATCTACAGTGTCTATAGTTCCTTTTTTGATTATGCTATGGAATATTTGAAGCGCTTTAGGTTGTAAGTCCCTAAAAGCATTTTAGATTGTGAAAGTAAAAGTCTTGGTAGTCTATTCCAATAGAGTTCTCTTTCTTTTTCCTCAGCACCGTTCATAAGAATGAACTCATTAATTTATGAGTTAAATTCAGTAAGTAATTATTTATTTGTTTAAACAATAATAATGATGGAACATATATCTGGCGGGTTTCCATTACATTTGCATTAAAATTCAATTATTTATCTGCAGGCGGTACCGATTAGCAGCTGTTTTTGATTTCACCACAAAAGAAATTGAACAAAACAGCTTTCTACTTTTTTTTAAGATTTTTGTTTAGAATAGCTTAAGTCTTATAAACGATCATCTGGGTGATCTTACAAAGATCTTACGAAAGACTTTTAATGATTTTAATTTGCCAAAATTGCTCTATAAACGGTTTGATATACTTGTACCGTCAATTTTCGCTTTAAAGAACTGTAATTGTACAAAATTCTAAGTTTCTTAGCCCAACCAAATGTGTCTGTTTAATTTATATCTTTCATAATGAACATAGTTGTTAATAATGCGTATTGTTAGATATTGTAAATGTTTTTAATTAATCCCAACATTCATCGCATCCCAACATTCATAGTAAATAAATTTGAAATTTTTAGTTTACGAAAAAGATAGCATTTTTTAATGAACTCTGAACCTATAAACTCATAATTAAAGTTGAAATATTTATCATAACAAATGAATCATGTCAACAGATATTTGTATATAAACTAATTTTTAGTCAATATAAGTATGCATGACCACATCAATATACATGACTACCACATTCAGATATATTGATATCGTCAAATTAAACTGCAAGGATTTAGTTTTATAACCAAAACAAATCAATTCTCTATACACCAGAGTTTAGTATGAATGTTCGTGAGTACATATATATATATAGAAATATATGTTTGTGATAATAATTATCACTCACAAAATCGTATTTCGTATTTAAAATTTATTCAATTGTTTATCTGGATTCACTCACTTCCTGTGTATTTTCATTTTGTATCTTTTTCAGTGCAATCGGCAATCGAATCAAATCATATCAATGCAACTTAAACCGCAATTTAATATGAAACTTTTAATTAAACATTTCATTCGAACAGAAAAACATACGTGCTTAGGTTAAATAAATTCAAGTAATAAACACTTGTTGATTAGTTTGCAAATAAAAAATAAACTGACAACAATAACAAGACAAATGAACAATATATATAAAAACATATAGGTATGTATATATCGGAAACAATAAAATATTTATTGACATAAACCAGATGACACCAACTTCTTGACAAATACAAATGGTCTAAACCCAAGAATGAAATGGAATAACTTCTATTTTATATATTGACTTGAAGAGTACAACAAATACATCGTGTAAATATAGTTTTTTTGTTTAAATATCATTTCCAAACTTATGGAACATAAAATTCTATAAACAATTTGATCTAATTCAATAACCGTTCTTGAGATACAACGCGTAAAATTGGGACGCTTAAGAAATATTATATAGACATCCGTATCTGCTATTATTTAACCGAACATTCTATGCCTTGGCGGCCCCTTGAATGTTAAAATTTCTAATGATGCCAATGAAGAAATGTGTACAAGACTAACTTCCATCTTGGTTTGATGCGAGGCCCATCTAAAACCACTGCTACAATATGGGTTGTAGCACACGTTGGTGAATATGCAAATCCACACCGATTGTAAACGAAAACTGCACATTCCTCCCGCGTAAGATTAAGTATTAACCAACAGTCACTACGAGCCCAACCCCAACTGGTCAACCGAAGCTGCAAGCTCACTGACCCCCGTAAAGCGGAGCGGATCACTAACTAACATGCACACTTCTCACACAAGTATCGGCGTTGTGCCGGGATTTTAGTCGCCTTTTACGACATATTCTAACCCCTTCACCGCAGGAGAAATGTTATATAGACAGTCATGGTCATGTCATATGTGAAACTGTTGTTATTTTCAAAGTATATTAAAAAATTGAGACTAAAGTGGAAAAGTCATATTTCCATTTGGTGGTGGAAATATCCATTTGGTAGGCATGGGTAATTAATAAAAATATACTTATAAACCCACACTAAGAAAATAAAATTTTGAAATTTAGTTATAAAAAGTCGTAACAGAATAATACTAAAGATAGTAAATTGACAAACTCATGTCGTTTCTAAAAGACCGAAAAATTGTAAGTAGCATATGTCGTATTACGGCACGTACTATATCATCCTTATATGGCGTTTACACTGGCCGAAAATGACTCATTTGAAAACAGTCTCTTGAAAGTGTTTACATTCGTTGTAAATCATTTGTGCTCATTTCAAACAGCTGATTTTTCAACTTGCTTGTTGATTTGATTTTTGGCCCATACCAATAGAAATGTTGTATGAATGTTAATTACACCTTCAAACCTTACAATATAAACAGAAAACTTGTTTTTTGCTCCGATTATCTCTATTTTTGTAAATATGTCAAAAATAGCTGTTCTAAACTGTCAAAATGCCTTGAAAAGCTTTTATTTGGTATATGTTCAATGTATTCACTTGCATTTGAAACATATTTAGAACTCATTCTAACCTCGTTGGAACTCATTTATACAGAATCAGATCCAATGGATCTCATATGCGCTTAAAATTTTGTAAGCAAAATTTTTCTCATTTTAGATTTTTGACCAAAATAAGCCAGTTGAGGTCAGTGTAAATGCCATATTAGCCATAAGTACCATATATGGCAATGAATTGCATTATACTGTGCGACTTTTAAAGTTAAATGCTAAAAATATGATTATGAAAAACCTGCATTATTTACTAATTAATTATACGGTTTTGGAACAGTTGGTTAAGGTATGCTGATTCTGAGCTTCATATTTGGCAGAACCCGAGTTCGATTCGTGGTACTTGCACTCTCAAAAATAATTATTTACAAATAATTAAATACAAGAATGATTTCCAAGACCACAGATGATGGGTATTTGCCAATACTCGAAACAGTTGTATGGTCAGCCAAAAATTCAATTAATTAAAATAACATACAAAATAAAATTTTTGTTGTTGTAATTCACTACTGTTCGAAAAAACCCCTCTAATTAATTATATAAATTATTTATATTTATAATCAAAGATCACACCTCTGTTTCATGGTATTAACACAGACAATTTATTGCTTGTTAACATATTTTGAAAGTGAACTTTGATAGTTAACAATTTCGAGTGATCT